AAGCATATTAGAGTGTGTGTGTGTGTGTACATTTGTGTGTATACACAAACATATGCATGTACATACATGTATATATGTAAAAAAAAATTGTCACAAAAACTTTAATAACTTCATTGGTGTAAAACACATGTACACAGATGATCACCAAATCATAAGTGTGTGGCTTGTTGGATTTTCAGAGTGACGTGTCCATGAAACTTTCACCCAGATTTATATATATGTATATATATCTGTATATATATAAAACTATATATATATAACTATATATCTATATATATCTATATGTAACTATATACATGTATATATATATAGATATATATATATGTATATGTATATATAAAACTAATATCCCAAATTCTCTCTCCTCTGAGGCTAAGTCATTATCCCACTCTCCCTAGTCAGAGTCATTGTCTGACTTGACACACTTAGGTTAGTTGGTTACTAAGAATAAGGGACAGAGTGAAGGAATCTTTTATTGATATATGACATATATAGAAAGTGCAAAATTAGTAGACTGGAACGTGATGAATTTTTTTAAATGTTTATTTATTTTTGAGATAGGGAGACAGAGGATCCCAAGCAGGTTCTGCACTAACAGTGCAGCCCTGATGCGGGGCTCAAACTGACGAACCATGAGATCATGACCTGAGTCGAAATCAAGTCGGTAGTTTAACCGACTGAGCCACCCAGGTGCCCCGGAATTTGATGAATTTTTATAAAATGAATACCCAGGTAATGTTTGAGATATAGAACATGTTTCTACCCAGAGAAACCCATTGGAGATCCAGTGCCTAAAGTTTTTATTGGGATCCGGTCACATAGACACACTCTGCCTAGCATATACTAAAATTCTAGACTCCCAGAAGGAAGGCAGATGTTCAGTATGAATCATATTGTTTGCACAGTCTAAGCACAATGAGCCACCTTATCAGTTAGGGAAAGTTTTATGTCAGTGTAGGGAACTGCTTGTTAGCCAGATTTCCAGGCACAAGCCAAAAGGCCATCCTTACAAGCAGGTCTTTATGAAGATAGCAGTCTTGGGCCTGCTATATTAAGTTTTTTCCTGCATAATCACCATAGGTGAGTTTTGCCTGTTCTTTTTTTTTTTTTTTTTTTT